TTTTTTGGTCTATACAGTGGAAGTGATATCTTAGAATATTGTAGTAATATCGTAAGAAATATCTTCTTTTTGGTGTCGCTCGGAAGAAAGAACGTAAGTCATATATTAGGGTGAACTGTCCCTTTAATACCAATAAATGTCAAAAATGATTGAGAAAAATTATATCTCTGTCACATGATTTGAAAGTACAAGAGGAAAATTGTATTGCTCAGAAGTTGCTCTTCTATATCTCATAAGAGTTCTTAGTTTTTTGTAGTGTTTTTTCTCAGATATTAATTCTGAAATTCATTAGTAAAAATAAAAAATGGTAACACTACAGGTTAGTTAATGCATTAACTAACATAAACTAACAATGAACAACATATTGTTTAAAGCATTTATAAATGATAAAATAGTGAATACATGACACATTTAATGTTTGTTTGTTCATAGCGCATTAACTAATGTTAAAAAACATACAACGTCTCATTTGAAAACATATTAGTAAATGTTAAAAATGAACATGATTAATAAATGTTGTAGAAGTATTGTTCATTGATAGTTCATGTTAACTCATTTAGTTCACTAATGTTAAGTGTTTCTATAAAAATAGTCAAAAATGACTCAGAGTTGTCATACAGTGTGAGCATGAGAAGTGTTTGAGAAATGTTTCATATTTCAGTCTTTAATAACCTGGCAAGCCGTTTGAAACACTGTCGAGATCCCTTTTCATCAGAAACACGAGGAGAAACGTCTCGATTTAATCTTCATTTAGTGATTTTTCTCTTCTGTAGCTACAGTATCGTAAAGATTTTTTGCATGCGAATGCACAGGAAGGCGTTTTTATCTATGGATTATGTTCTTTGTTTAGCTTCAGCTGCTTTTGAAAAATCCCCCTCTTTGTTTAGTTGACTGTTTTTATTTAATATATAGTAGTTAACATTGAGATATTGCTGAACAAACCACCAGCTCTCGAGCTCGGCGAACAATCGTTGAGTTGAGTGCAGCGGTGAGCAGTTCCACTCACGCAGACTTCAAGGAGAATTTTTGCTTTGATCTCGGTAACCCCAAAGAAAATTGTAGCATCTTCTTTAATCTGGGCTCGGTAATGACTTTAAGTCCAGGAAAAGACAAATAAAAAGGAATACAAGGCTTTGATAAGAATTGTTAGGAACAAAAGCCAATTTTCAAAGGCAGAAAAAGCAACAGTTTCTCTTCTGGAAATTCTCTGATATTTTTTCCCCCCCCGCTCAGACTTGAAAAGGTGCGGGATATGTTTCTGCACTCTCGATGTGATTGGAGTGGATGAGAGAGGTCACTTTTGGTTGTTTGTGAACAGCAAGCTCTCAGCCGTCATTATACACCATCATCAATGCTCAGAGTGTCATATACATATGTGACGAAAATATCGCAGCATGCAGAAAGCTTGGCTTTTAAACATCATTAGATTTATATAATATGATTTTTTGAGGCAGATTGTCTCATTCAGAACGATGGGTTAATAATAGCAGCGGTCTGTGCTTCATTAAGAAGCAACACTGCACAGATGCAATCAATGTGGAGAAGCGTGCATTATTTGCTTGTGAACTCGCAAACTGTGGCTCTGTTTTAAGACAGAAACTCGTCTCTTCGGAAATAAAGGGCGTAAGCTGATCCTCGCCGAGAAAATTTCATCTCCGTGTTTCGCAGCTACGGACAGATACATGGAGCAAACTAACTGAAGTCCTTAATCTAATTTGTCGGGCTCTTTTTCTAGTTAGCACATGCTGTCGTGTCTTAATTGACTCTCTGGTCAATACAGAGCTGTTCATTTGGACCGATGAATAGGACATGATGCTTATTTGTCTGGGGACGTGCTAATGCTGTTTGATTGTTAAAAATGCATGTGAATTGAGCTCTGTGAGTTATACATGAAAGGTAAGCCGGCTTTGATCGCTGTGTCATGTTTGCCAGATCTTCAAAGAGAAGCGTGTACGGTGAGGTTTTTGAGGCCTTAACTCTCCTCACATCCAGGAAGGTCTGACCCCAAACCATCTGAAGAAAGCCAAGCTGATGTTCTTCTACACACGCTACCCCAGCTCGAATCTGCTCAAGAACTTTTTCCCTGATGTCAAGGTACCAGATTAATGCCTCTGTTAATGCTAATTCTGATCTTTCATACACAGGTAGGGCAATTATAGGTCTGTTTATTGTAGATACTTTTATAACTCGTGTGTTTCTGCCAACACTGAACAACCATCGTGATTCAAAGTGATCTTTAGAGCAAAAACAATCTTTTAATAGGACAATCTGTTTAATTTGATAAATATTCTAATTGTATGTATTATGCTTAAATAATATTAATAATTTTTAAATATTTCTTTTCATTATTATTTACAAATATTTTTTTATCCTAATAATAAGTTACAATCAGGAGTCAAACCAAAAATCTTTTTAACGTCTGCCTGATTATTAGGATAAATGATATTTGTAAACAACTAAATATTCTAATTTTATTATTCATTTAATATTTGTTATGCTTAAATAATATTAATATTTTTAAATATTAATTTTCTTATTTATTATTATTCACAAATATTTTTTTATCCTAATAAACAGTTACGATCAGGAGTCAGATCTACCTGATTATTAGGATAAATAATATTTGAAAATAATTAAGAACAATAAATAAGATAATGTTTACGCAGTTAATCAGTTATGCATTAATAAGACATTGTATGGGTCAAAATTATCGATTTTTCTTTTATGCCAAAAGACGCTTGAGCAAATATTCCTGAATGTTGGTGTGGCAATTCCTGAATTGCTGGTTTAACTTTGACAAAGTTAAAAGAGGAGTTTCTCAAGTCAGCAAAAGGAGACAAAAGAGGCGGCGGAGAGGAGCACAACCTCCTCTATTCAGCGTTAACCCTTCAGCTCGCCAGCTTTCAGCACACACAATAGCAGAGCGCTGAGCCGCGGATACTGAGGCCCTACAACAACACGCGCATCCTGTGAGTGAGTAACCAGTCCTGAGGCACAAGT